TGTATATATATATATATATATATATACATATGTATATGAGATTGTGCTGCTTAGAACTTGATTTCTTTTTATTGTATTTATTATTTATTTAGAAATCAATTATGTGACATCCAATTAAAACAGATTGTTGATAATAGACAAGTAAAAAAAAAACATTACAATATAACATTCTAAGAAAGAAAAATAATTATCTTCATCCCCCCCTTCATTAGTAACACCATTTCTAGGTTACAAGATGACATGCCTTATAAACCAATCAAATTAAAGCCTTGATGTCATTGAATCACTTCTGGAGTTGTATGAGTTGTGTTTGCAGTTATCATAAAACGTGAATGAGCAGCAGCATAAACAGAATACTTCCTATTGCAAAATTGGCTGTGACCTCTCTAATAAAACAGCAATTTTTTCATCATAAACTCTGAAATTAATATTTAATGGAAAAAACCTTGAAGATTAGAGAGTTAATTAAGCTTAAGCATCTTCTGTCTCTGACATCAATCCAGAAAAAAGAAAGAAAGAAAGAAAAAAACCTCTCGTCTCCTTTCCAGTGTACTGCTGCATTGTTTTTTTGGGCTAACCTCGGAGGCTTCCCTAAGGAGAAGGGCTCTGCGTATACTCTAATTCGTTGCCATGGCATCCTGACACCCTGAATGATAGCATCATTCAAAAAATTGCAATCAACACACTCTATACAGTCAGATAGTTCAAGTATAGTGACTACACAAACAATCCCCTCCTTAAAACCACCCTGTCTAGAGAGGCCAGTTTGCCAAGGACTTGTGTATAATCCCTCTTCCCAGTGAGCGTTCCCTGTCGCGCCTCCAGATTGTCAGGATTCCCACTGAGCTACACCCCTGGTCTTATCTGACACGTGGGATCACGCTATGGATGGGTGTGGCCTGTGTGGTCATCAATAGATGGAACATTTCTGAATCCAACAAATGTTGGAACTGACAGCGTTTTTGGACCCCAAACTCATTTGAAAAATATCATGTTGCTCTTGCATGTTTTATGACACTTATGAAAACATGTACTAACTTCCCTAAACCTAACCGATAATGTTAACAAAAGCAAATGTGAGATAAATATACAAACCATGCCGTTTTATAATGACAGGACTGTGTTCAGGTTTCAACTCGTACCCAAGCAATGCTGTACCGGGTGAGCTAACGAGCAAGTTTACTAGAAAAGCTGGTTATGTGATGCAGATGTCATAATGTATTC